CATTTGTCTTTTTTAGGTTTACTGCCAGGGCCCAGGTCTGGCAGTACTGCTCTAACAGGTCCAGGTTCTGCTGTAGGCCCTGTTCTGTGGGGGACAGCAGAACCAGGTCGTCTGCATAGAGCAGGAATTTAATCTCTGAGTCGTGCAGAGTGAGGCCGGGAGCTGTGGACTCCTCTAATATCTTCGCCAATTCATTAATGTAAATATTAAATAGTGTTGGGCTTAAACAGCAGCCCTGTCTCACTCCGCGCTCCTGGGAGATGGAGTTTGTTTGTTTATTGCCAATTTTTATGCCGCATTTATTTCCTGTATACATTGATTTAATTAGATCATATGTTTTACCCCCTACACCGCTTTCTATAAGTTTATAGAATAATCCTTGGTGCCAAATAGAATCAAAAGCCTTTTTGAAATCAATAAAACATGCAAAAATTTTGGTTTTATTTTGGACGATGTATTTATCAATTAGGGTGTGTAGGGTGTAAATATGATCGGTGGTGCGGTAATTTGGTAAAAATCCAATTTGACTTCTACTCAAGACACTGTGCTCCATAAGGAAGTTTAGAAATCTGGAATTTAAAATGCTGCACAGTAACTTCCCCAGATTACTGTTCACACAGACGCCTCGGTAATTGTTTGGGTCGAATTTATCTCCACTTTTAAAGATTGGGGTTATTAGTCCTTGATTCCAGATTTCAGGGAAGTAACCTACACTCAGAACCAGATTAAATAACTTTAGAATAGCTAATTGAAATTTAGAAGTTGAGTTTTTTATCATTTCATTTATTTTATCATTTCACTCTCTCTCTCTCTCTGTCTCTCAGTCTCTGTAGAGTTTCTGTTTTGGTTTCTAACAGTAGAAAATTCACAGTTTACAGTAAAATGTAAAATATTTGGATTAAATATTATCATAATATGTAAATTAGCTGCAGTTTTGTCTGCCCCTGTGTGTGTTGCAGTCCGTGTCCGGAGCAGGGAATGGGGGACGAGTTTAATCTGATGGATCATTCGGATCTCTACATCCTCGACTTCAGTGAGTATAAAACACCTTCACAGTCCCTCTCTGATGACTCCCCTCATGTCTGTCCCGCATCTGCCCTCGCAACTGCGCTAGTATCTGTACTCTCGCATCTGCACTCGCAACTCTCAGATTATAATCACTGACCAATAGCATGACTGCTTTGGCTGAGTTGAACTGTGAGGGGGCGGGGCTTCACACAGCAGCAAAGCTAGAAATAACGCTAATTTTAGCTCAACATTTCACGTCGTTCTCTTTAAACACCGTAATGAGAGATGTGTGAGAGAGAGAGTGTGTGTGTGTGTGTGTGTGTGTGTGTGTGTGTGTGTGTGTGTGTGTGTGTGTGTGTGTTACGGCTCTGGCTCAGAGGACGTTCTGCGAGTGTCTGGCCGCTCTGGTCATTGCGAGTGATGTCAGTAGAGGCGCTGCTGCTCTCAGAACTGTTCTAATCTTCAGATCGCGAGTGTTTCTGATTCTGTAGCACCAAATGTCCCCTCAGAGATCAATAACGAACATCTGTTAATAACAGCCCGATCAATATACCAGTTACTGATAAAATAGACAGATATTAAGATTCCAGATATTGATGTCAGAAACCCACAGGTAAATTGCTGATTTCACTCTAAAGCTAATAGTTCTATTTTATAATGAAACTCATTAATAAAATTTTAATGAGCTGTTTTTATTGAACTGTTTATTTAGAAATACATTTAAAAATTTTCAGTTTTAGCACAAAAACACAAAATATGGAGAGAACTGATAAGAAATGAGAGAAATTAACAGCTGCTAATAATTCTGAGATACTCCCCCCCACTGCAGTACAGGACAGTGTCAGTCTGTACTAATGTCAGTCTGTACTATCTGTGTCAGGGTCAGTCTGTACTAATCTGTGTTGGTCAGTGTCGGTCTATATTAATCTGTCAGTCAGTCTCAGTCTGTACTAGTCTGTGTCGGTCTGTATTAATCTATGTCAATCAGTGTCAGTCTGTACTAACCTGTGTCGGTCTGTATTAATCTATGTCAATCAGTGTCAGTCTGTACTAGTCTGTGTCAGTCAGTGCCAGTCTGTACTAACCTGTGTCAGTGTCGATCTGTATTAAGCTGTGTCGGTCAGTATCAGTCTGTACTAGTCTGTATCAGTGTCAGTCTATATTTATCTGTGCCAGTCTGTACTAGTCTATGTCAGTCAGTGTCAGTTTGTCTCTCTCTCTCTCTGCCCCCCCTCTCTCTCTCTCTCTCTCTCTCCCTCTCTCTGTGCCTCTCTCTCTTTCTCTCTCTCTCTCTCTCTCTCTCTCTCTCTCTCTCTCTCTGTGCCTCTCTCTCTCTCTCTCTCTCTCTCTCTCTGTGCCTCTCTCTCTCTCTCTCTCTCTCTCTCTCTCTCTCTCTGTGCCTCTCTCTCTCTCTCTCTCTCTCTCTCTCTCTCTCTCTCTCTCTGTGCCTCTCTCTCTCTCTCTCTCTCTCTCTCTCTCTCTGCCTCTCTCTCTCTCTGTGTGTCTGTCTCTGTGTGTCATGATTAGAGCTGATATAATGCCTCTGTCTGTCTGTATCAGGTCCTGATCTGAAGACTCTGTGTAAGATTGCGGTGATTCAGTTCAGTCTGGATCAGTCAGGACTTCCTCACGACATCCGGTCAGTCTGAGTCACCTCACTGCACCTTCCTGTCTACTCCTCTATTCCTCTCATCCTCTTTTTCTCTCGCATTCTTTTTCTCTTATTTTTCTGTGTTTCATTGTTTTTAAAGCTGCTCTTTAGTGATGGTGTTAAATCTTGTAGATGAGCAGAAGACTGAACACAGCACTGATTTCAGACTGAGCACTGAACACTGATTACAGACTGAGGACTAATTACAGACTGAGCACTGAACACTACAGACTGAGCACTGATTACAGACTGAACACTGATTACAGACTGAGCAATGAACACTGATTACAGACTGAGCACTGATTACAGACTGAGCACTGAACACTGATTACAGACTGAGCACTGATTACAGAGCACTGAACACTGATTACAGACTGAGCACTGAGAACTGATTATAGACTGAGCACCGATTACAGACTGAACACTGAGCACTGATTACAGACTGAACACTGAGCACTGATTACAGACTGAGCACTGATTACAGAGTGAGCACTGAACACTGATTACAGACTGAGCACTGAGCACCGATTACAGACTAAGCACCGATTACAGACTAAGCACTGATTACAGACTGAACACTGAGCACCGATTACAGACTAAGCACCGATTACAGACTAAGCACTGAACGCTGATTACAGACTGAACACTGAGCACCGATTACAGACTAAGCACCGATTACAGACTAAGCACTGAACGCTGATTACAGACTAAGCACTGATTACAGACTGAACACAGAGCACCGATTACAGACTAAGCACTGATTACGGATTGAGCACTGAATACAGACTGAGCACTGAATACAGACTGAACACTGATTACGGACTGAGCACTGAACACTGATTACGGACTGAGCGCTGATTACAGACTGAGCACTGAGCACTGATTACAGAGTGAGCACTGATTACAGACTGAACACTGAGCACTGATTACAGAGTGAGCACTGATTACAGACTGAGCACTGAGCACTGATTACAGACTGAGCACTGATTACAGAGTGAGCACTGATTACAGACTGAACACTGAGCACTGATTACAGAGTGAGCACTGATTACAGACTGAGCACTGAGCACTGATTACAGACTGAGCACTGATTACAGAGTGAGCACTGATTACAGACTGAGCACTGATTACAGACTGAGCACTGAGCACTGATTACAGACTGAACACTGATTACAGACTGAGCACTGATTACGGACTGAGCACTGATTACGGACTGAGCACTGATTACAGAGTGAGCACTGATTACAGACTGAGCACTGATTACAGACTGAACACTGATTACAGACTGAGCACTGAGCACTGATTACAGAGTGAGCACTGATTACAGACTGAGCACTGATTACGGACTGAGCACTGATTACAGACTGAGCACTGATTACAGAGTGAGCACTGATTACAGACTGAGCACTGAGCACTGATTACAGACTGAACACTGATTACAGACTGAGCACTGCACTGATTACAGACTGAAGAGTGAACACATTACACACTGAACACATTACAGACTGAACATTGAACGATTACAGACTGAACACTGATTGATTACAGACTGAGCACTGAACACTGATTGATTACAGACTGAACACTGATTGATTACAGACTGAGCACTGAACACTGATTGATTACAGACTGCACAGAATTATGACTGGGTTATTAAGTGCATGTAAACACTCTAATTAAATCCAGACTACAGACTAAATGCTGGTTGAAGACTGACTGAACACAAAGACTTAACCTTGATTAAATACTGACCGTAACAGGAGTTCGAGGAGAAGTGAAATCTCTTTTTCCGTCGCTAATTAACGCTCTCTCTCTCTGTAGGTGGGAACTGGCTGCCATGACAACCAACAGCAACATAAGTCGGCCCATCTTCTCCTCTCACGGCTAAAGATAGAAAAGGTCAGTCAGAACCAGAACAGAGTCTTGTGGTTCTGCTGCTAAAGGATGATACTCTGACGAATGGAGAAGATTTCTCAGACTTTTTCTGGATCCTGTGATCTTCTGACTACGTTTAAACTCTAACCCTCCTCCTTCTGTGGACCTGGTTTCTCCTGCTTATGAAATATTGCACATTTACTGTTTTTGAGGACAGACTGCAGCAGTTTCTCGGTGAAGGATCTCCAGACATTAAAATCATTTTAGATATTCAGTGGTGTTACAAGTGACTGTGACTTATTTTAAAGTTTTTCAGAAACTCTACGATCAGGTTTCTTATTTTTTCTTCTTTACAATCAAGTCTCCATCTTCAGCGGCACCTTCAGGCAGAGTTGAGGTTTCCTGCTATGATGGACCAGGTTTTACACCTTTCTCAGAGCAGAAAAGATCAAAGGTCATCAAAATCACCTGAAGAACAAGTGCCCAGAGCACCTCATCAGTATCAGTCCTGCATTTAAAACTCTGCTTTATTTTCAGAAGTTTGAGCTCTTAATGATGTGAACTGACTGGTCGGCAGTGATTGGGCCACTTTCTGACCATGACTTTCTGGCTGTTACACCACAGGAACAGGGGTGGGGGGGTGAGGGGGTGGGGGGGGGGTGAAAGTGTTTGAGTGTCTGTTGCTGAAAAATGCTGTTAAAGATAAAGAACAACGTGATTCATCTTTGTTCTGTATTTGGGTTTCTGTTCTGCTCCGTTTCTCTCAGCTGTTCTGAAGTTCGTCTCTGATCAGAAGTTCTGCGTTTCCTCCTCAATCTGATGGTGCCAAATACAGACTGTGTGTGGTGTGTGTGTGTGTGTGTGTGTGTGTGTGTGTGTGTGGTGTGTGTGTGTGTGTGTGGTGTGTGTGTGGTGTGTGTGTGTGTGTGTGTGTGTGTGTGTGTGTGTGGATATTTAACGTGTGTAACACTCGGCTGTGTTCAGTGTTCCACTCATCCCGGACCAGCTGTACAGACTCTGCATCAGCCGTCACTTCACACTAAACCTTTTACAGAATGTCCTGCAGTTACACCGTCACTCACCGTTAGCACCGAACTCAGTTCACCTGCAGAATCTATTTTATGGCTGAAGTTCAAACAAAATAAAATGTTTTCTGTTACAAATATAAAGAGTCGTTTCTGTACTGAACAGACTGAGTGTTAATTATAGACAGCAGTATGAATTTAATCAGATAATAAGAACGTAATTCAGCATCGGAGTGGGTGTGGCCTTTTTTACTCATCACTAAGGCTTCTTTTATATATGCAAAATACTGAATGGTGAAGGTGTTGATGATGATAATAAAGAGGAAAAATGCTGTTTAATTTGACAAATGTTTCTTGTTACATGATTGTTTTGTCTTATTTCTTTAGTATGATTAATATATTAACTGTATTAAGCAAGTAAGCAGAGTTTATTTATATAGCGCTTTTTACAACAGTTGTTGTCACAAAGCAGCTTTACAGAAAAACCAGCATTACAGAAAAAAAAAAAAATCCAGGTCCAAGCCCCCATGAGCACGACAGTGGCAAGGAAAAACTCCCTAAGAGCAAGAGGAAGAAACCTTGAGAGGAACCAAGACTCAGAAGGGGAACCCATCCTCCTCTGGTCGACACCGGATAGTAAACATTGTTAGTATAAAGTATTATAGTACAAAACAGAGGCACAGGATGGGCAGCTGTTCAACTCGGCAAAGAAAGGAAAACACACAGAGTCAGTTCTGTAATGGGAGTCAGTTCTGTAATGGGTGTCAGTTCTGTAATGGGTGACTGATCACAGATTACAGTGTTAGCAGAGCAGCAGAGACTCTGGCCGGTATAGAACCGACAGGGAAAACTAATTACCAAAGGCTCAACTATACAAGTAAGTTTTTAGCCTAGACTTAAACACTGAGGCTGTGTCTGAGTCCCGAACATTAACAGGAAGACTATTCCAAAGCTGGGGGGCTTTGTATGAGAAGCTCCGCCCCCTGACGTAACTTTATTAATTCTGGGTACTAATAGTGAGCAGCACCTTGTGATCTAAGTAGGCGTGATGGTTCATAGTGGGAGAGAAGTTCACTCAGGTACTGAGGGGCGAGTCCGTTTAGAGCTTTATAGGTCAGTAAGAGGATTTTATAATCAATCCGAAATTTAACTGGTAACCAGTGTAGGGCTGATAAAACTGGGCTGATATGGTCAAACCTTCTGGTTCTTGTGAGACTCTGGCTGCAGCGTTCTGGACCAACTGAAGCTTGTTAAGGCTTTTGCTGGGACATCCAGCCAGCAGGGCATTACAGTCATCTAGCCTTGAAGTAATAAATGCATGAACTAACTTTTCTGCATCCTGTAGAGAGAATGCATTTCTCAATTTAGCAATATTAATCACTGTAACACAGCCTACAGAACACAGCAGTGATTACTGCATCAATAAAACACAGAATACAATATGATGATAAGTATGTAATAAGTAGTAGTAATAAGTCCTTTTTTTAACTAATAAACAATTTTGCTGAGCAATAGAGTTTAACTACCGTCCAGCTCTCGTTTCTGTCAGAGGAACATCGTTTTCTAAACATCAGTAGATTCTTATTTAAAACAGAATCTAGATCTCAATCTAGAATTTAGGTTGACCATACTTTTGGATAAACCCGAAAACAAGGTTAGTTTAGATAGATGACTTGTTGCTTCTTTTAGGTGCACTTCTCCGTCAGCGTCCAGTCAGTCAGAGTAAATGAGTTTTCTGAAAACTGAAGAGTGCAGTGTGGTGTCCCACAGGGCTCTGTTTTAGAGCCCTCACTGTTGTTTGTTTATCTGCAGGACTTAAGCTGCATGATCTGTAAAACACTGTTGTCTTTCATGTTTATGTTGTTGGTGCTCAGTTATTCCCGTCGGATCAGCCTAATTCAACACAGCTACACATACAGGAAGATTGGCGTTAGGTCCTAAATCAGCTCACAATAAGGTCACAGATTTTATAGTGGACTGTAATGGATTCTTAGACCAAAGACTTTAGTGCAACACTGGATGATTGTTTATCATTTGAGTCCCTTATTAGTGAGATTTATGGTCACATTTTATTTCTCAAGAAACATCCAGAATAACACACAAGCTGCCCTAACGAGGTGCTCAAGCTTTCATAGCTGTATAAGCTGAATAAGCTACCGTAGTGTGTTACTGGCTGGTCACTCTGCTGTGTCTCAGCAGGAGAGGGGACAGAAGTGGACAGACTGCCTTCCTGGACTGAACGGCAAGCTGAAGTGCAGTTTGGTGATGGAGGGTGGGCTCTGAAGAATTTTGAGATGTTTGGAGGTTCAGAGTGAGGAGAGCCGTGCTGTGACATGGTCCACCTGCTACCTGTCCACTCGCGCTCTTCGCCTTCCAGCAACCTTAAACTTGCTCCTTCAGCGCCGCTCGAGTGGCTGCGTCACTCAATCAGTGTGTTGGAGCAGAATGAGGCCGTCTCCTGGGAGGAGCTCTTAGCCGTCCTGCTGCAGACCGACAGAGAGGATTTGGACTGAGGTGCAGGATTGTTATGACCTGCGGCTCCTTCAACGTGACTCCAGCGGTCAGGAACACTCAGCGAGCTGAAAGATGGTGATTTATCACCTGCAGATTTTACAACTTTTGTAACCTTTGACATCAGTTTTGTACTAATTTGTGTGGTTTTAGGAATTAAATTATTTTGGGGCTCAATTTAGTAACACCAAGATGGATTACAGACCGGGTAGTGCGGTCAGTGGGATCTGACCCTTTACAGGTCTCAGGGGCCTCAGGACACAAAACAAGTGCAATCTATCATAAAAGTAAAATGTATTTGATTCTATGTAGTATTTTATGATTATATTTGTAGCCTCTGTAGATGCTCATGTCCAGATGCCTCACAGGTCACTCCAGTATGAACTGGTTCTACTCAGCGTCCATTTTCTAACTGCCTAAAACAGATCAGAGCATTTTGATAATCAGCAGCTTTAAGGAGGAAATTCACCGCTTTTTTCACGGTTCTGTTCAAAGACAATCAATATGTAATTAATCTGTTTTTATTATCAGTAAAGATTTTAAAAGATTAACTACAGATGCAGATCAGTTTTCATTTATTGTTTATTTTCTGCTTTTACTGTTTTATTTAATCTGTAAATCATTTAAAAATCTCTGAAACTTTTTGCTCTAAACAAAAAAAAAACACCTAAAGTTTAATGTACTTAATTTTAAAAATATTTAATTAGCAAAATAATTTGGATCATGATGAAATGTTCTCATCATAAAGAACAGCTGGAGTTTTAAAGGCTGTAAAAAATAAACAGATGATTTTTTTCCTCTCGTGTCTGTTGGGTTTTTGAAGCTCTGTGAAAGTTGGATGTGAAATTCTGATTTATGTTTGTAGAAAAATGGAAAAACGGTTTATTGTAATGTAGAATATCTGACCGTCTGCGCTGACCATGTCTCAGTTTCCATGTAGGTCAGGTTTGACGTTGGTCATTTAGCACCTGGCTGTTTATTTTATCCTCATTAGCTGGTGAGAGTTTTCCGGAGGGACGGCGCTCGGCTGCGCTGCTTGGAGGGGCTTTAGAGAGATTAGTGTCGCTCTCTGGGGTCCCTGGTGGGCTGCTGCTTCTGAGCGTCTGCGGCTGGACCCTCGGCCGTCCACTCGTCTCTGTGCCGTCCTCTCTCTATCAGTGTCTGCATCTCCAGCAATAAATCATATTTGCGTTTTCATTTTTATTTAACCCCACCCCCTCTGCCCCCCCAAAGCAGTGTGTTCATGTCTGTCAGTGCTGCACTGCTATAAACCTGTGAGTGTGTGTGTGTGTGTGTGTGTGTGTGTGTGTGTGTGTTATCTGCTGTGTTAAGTGCTGTCTGTAGACGGGGGGTTGTGCAGAGACACCCCGGGTCTGCAGGAAACCCCTCAACCTTCCCAACCCAGAGCTCAGCAGCTCAAAATCAAGCACACCTAAACCCAAATCCTGACCCCCAAAACACTGAACAATTCTAAAACTGGGTCCTGAGCCCAAACTCTGAAACTGAGCCCTAAACCCCAAACCTAAACTGAAGCTCTGCTCTGGTCGTTCAGTCTAAAGCGCATCTGCAGCTGAAGAACTGAAAATGAAGAATGTTATTATATTATAATGACTCATTTATGACGACATCATAAAGCTTCATTAAAGAGTTCAGATCAAAGATCTGTGTTAGTGCTGATCAGGACGCAGTGATCAACTGATGAAGGTGCAGTGCGTGGAGTTAAAGTTAATGTGGAGTTAAAGTTAAAATTAAAATTTGAACAAAATTTTAATTTTCAAGTTAAAATTAAAACTTAAATGTGGATAAAGTGACGTGGCTGAAGAGAAACGATCAGCTGCTCTTCACCACAACTGAAAGATCTTCTGACTGAAGGTCAGTCGGCTGCTGTGGAAGCTCTGCTGGACCATTAGATGCTGAAGAAGCGCTCACCGCTGTTGCAACTGCACTGACTGCTGTACTGCTATAACCCTAAACACTGTGTTGTGATGAGCAGCAGAGCTGCAGGTTTGTGTGAGTCAGACATGCTGAGGCTCAAAGACTGAATTTATTATTAAAGTCAAGTCAAAGTTTATTTATAAAGCGCTTTTTACAACAGGTGTTGTCACAAAACAGCTTTACAGAAAAATCCGGGTCTGAGCCCCCATGAGCGTCGCCAATGATGACAGTGGCAGGAAAAACTCCCTAAAAGCAAGAGGAAGAAACCTTGAGAGGAACCAAGACTCAAAAGGACCCCATCCTCCTCTGGTCGACACCGGACAGCAAACATCGTTAGTATAAAATATTAGAATACAAAACGGGAAAAACAGGTGGAGCAACGGTTAATTAGATAGTTTGAGTTTATGCAACAACAGCAGCAGCATCAGGAGGGTCAGTTCATGAGGGTTTGAGAGGTTTGCACAGCTTTATACAGCATGAAGCTCAATGGTGGTCAAGCCGGTCGAGAAGGCTGGTGAGCAGTGGCACCACAATCAAGGCAGAAGAAGAACAGCCTCAGACGCACAGGATGGGCAGCTGTTCAACTCGACAAAGAAAGGAAACACACAGAGAGTCAGTTCTGTAAAGAGTGTTAACAGAGCAGCAGAGACTCCGGCAGGTCTAGATATTACAGCCTCACTAAGAGGGAGAAACCAGAAAGGTAACAGAGTCAGGAGGCTCCCTGAGATGTCGGCGCCCCTCCACTCCACCGTCAGCAAACCTGAGTGAGTGCGTGAGCAGCGGGACGACAGCACCAACACTCCCAGTTGACCATAATACTCTGTGACCATGAACCCCAGATCTGCACCTTTTATCTGACAGGAAAAACTAATTACCAAAGGCTCCACTGAACAAGTGGGGTTTTAGCCTAGACTTAAACACTGAGGCTGAGTCTGAGTCCCGAACACTGACTGGAAGATTATTCCAAAGCTGGGGGGCTTTGTATGAGAAGCTCCGCCCCCTGACGTAACTTTATTAATTCTAGGTACTAATAGTGAGCAGCACCTTGTGATCTAAGTAGGCGTGATGGTTCATAGTGAGAGAGAAGTTCACTCAGGTACTGAGGGGCGAGTCCGTTTAGAGCTTTATAGGTCAGTAAGAGAATTTTATAATCAATGCGAAATTTAACTGGTAACCAGTGTAAGGTTGATAAAACTGGGCTGATATGGTCAAACTTTCTGGTTCTAGTGAGAACGCTGGCTGCAGTGTTCTGGACTTACTGAAGCTTGTTAAAGCTTTTGCTGGGACATCCAGACAGCAGGGCATTACAGTCATCTAGCCTTGAGGTAATAAAAGCATGAACTAGCATTTAACACGGTCATCCCACACCAACTCTCAGAAAAGCTCCTCACTCTCGGACTGACACCCGCCCTCTGCAACTGGGTGCTGAACTTTCCTTGAATGCAGACAAGACCAAGGAAATGATTGTTTATCAAAGGAAGCGGGAGCTGCACACCCCCCTGTACATAGGTGAGACAGAGGTGGGGAGGGTGAAAACCTTCAAAGTCCTTGGCATCCACATCAGTGAGGATCTCACCTGGTCTCACAACACACACCTCACCATCAGGAAGTCCCAGCAGCGACTGTACTTTCTGAGAAGGCTGAGGAAATCTGGCATGCCAGCCAAAATTCTCAGCACCTTCTACAGGAGTACGATCGAGAGTGTTCTTACCAGCTCCATCATGGTCTGGTATGGAAACTGCACTGCTCAGGACAGAAAGGCTCTCAGCGTGTGATCAAAACTGCACCGTCCATCTCAGGAGCAGCCTTCCCCTCACTACAGGACACTTACCACACCAGGGTCATCAGGAGGGCCCACAACATGATCAGGGACAGTACACACCCCCAGCACCGACTCTTCACACTCCTACCTTCAGGCAGACGCTACAGGAGTGTGAAGTCCAGGACTACAAGACTGACGAACAGTTTCTATTCACAGGCCATCAGGCTTGTGAACACCTCACTCACTACCGAACTGGTTTACCATTGACTTTGCACTGAATAACTGCACCTTACATACACTGCACTGCTGCTGTCAGAACACTACTGTTTACATCTGTTACTTGCAACATGCACTTTATGAACCGCTGCTCTACATACTTGCACATACGCACACATCACACAATATTGCGGAGATGCAGGAAGGCTGTTCTAGTAATATTAGTTATATATGCGTCGAAGAACAGATCAGGGTCTATAATGACACCAAGGATTTTTACAGGTGAACCTGATGCAACTGAGAAATTAAGTTTAAGTGTTAAATTAGACAGTTTGTTTCTAGCTGCTTTTGGACCAAGAAGCAGAACCTCTGTTTTATCCGAGTTTAGAAGGAGAAAGTTACTCCACATCCAGTCCTTTATGTCTTTGATACAGTCTTCAATCTTGCTAAGGTTAATTCTATCATCTGGGTCACTTGCTAAATATGACTGTCATCAGCATAGCAGTGGAAATTTATG